CCCCCCCCCCCCACAAAAAACAAAAAACAATAACACCGTTTGAATGAATTGCACGTTGTGCACGAGTTCTTTGTCCCGGTCGCGCGCACCAAGCTGCATTCCCACACGAGGGGGCGCGTGCATGGAACCACGCGAGCGTGCACGGTGTGTCAATTCCAGCATATTTGATGCCAATATGCAAACCTGACAACCCCCCCCCCCCATCGTTTAAAGGAAGGATTCCTCATCGTGAAAGTGTGTGTACGTGGGGGCATAGTGGGTTTTTTGCGCGTGCACTTTGCCGCACACAACTTAGACACAACATACAACCATGTTTACAGTAACGAAATGTGTGCTTGATGATTCACTAAAATCAGATCAAACGTCTAACTAGCTGCATGGTTTGTTAAATGAGGGGAAGATACCACATGGGGATAAAACTGCTTTACTCCATATGTACAGTTATTTGCAAATTGTGGCCGGTGGGGTAAGACTCCGCACCTGAATTACCTCGATATGTTTACTTCCTTCGTTATGTGCTGCTGTTTTGGTTCGCAACGGGGTTCAACTGGAATTAGCAGAAAACATTAAATGCTCTTCTAAACGGAGACAATGAAAGTGTCTGTGAGCAGCTCGATTGGGGGACACTTCTTTGACGACATACTGCTGCGAATTGCCACCATTTGCCACAGCTTTCACAAATAGTGCTACGGTAGAACTCAATTTATTTCCCTGTACAGCTGCACTAAGGAATTCAATTAATCTGAGACGCTGCTGTTTTAGCATCAGAATTTAAATGGGCTGAGCATTCATTTTTTAATGTTAACCGAGGTAACGAAGGTGTCTGTTTACGCAGAGGGGTTTATTTGTTCAAGTCGACGCTGCGCCTTGAGACATGGCTTCTAATTTGAAGAGGAGCAACCCTTTGGAGGAAAGAATAATGTGATGGATAATATTGATTAAATATGCAGTCAGATCAATGTGCAGGCTATACATTTTGTTTTCCCCATTGACTAAAAAAATATATTTTATAGCTAATTGTATCGTGCATATTTCCTGGATATGCAAATGATACCGATTCGGTGGAATGGCCCTTCTACTCTTTTCTAAGGCCAAAATGCACATGTATGTTTCCATATGGCATGGACTTGAAGTTTTTTGGTGCAACCCGGAGGAAAACATAGATACCAAAATGACTTAAAAACTGCTTAAATTTAACGCTGGAGATGTGTGCTCATACTTCTTTCTATCTACCAACTTTGATTTGGGGTGCGAATTTTCCATTTCAAAATCCTAACACAGGAAAGAACCCGCAGCAAAACAAAGTAACAAAAAAGAAAAACAATGTAAATCCTCTAACCAATGGCAACAATGACGAACGACGGTCTCCTGTATGTGCTTCTCAGTTTAATTTTATTTCAATTTAATTTTGGTTGAGAAGAGACTGAAGGCAGCAGAGAAGCCAATGTAGAGCTAATGTTAGCATGTGGTTAGCATTTGCCATTACTTTTTTTTAAATCACTTTTAGCCATGCATGTTTAAATGTCAACCATTTTGTATCTGCTTGTATCCCTAAGTACAATATCTAGTACCAACTAGTACCTGCTCCTGGCAGCCAAAAAACGTCAATAAAGGTTGGGGTGATGCTTTTATTAGTTAGCTTGATGAGCAAATGTGAGTTTTCTTATCATGTGCTTGCTTCCTGTGTTTCCTTGATGCAAGGGAAGGTTTGAGGATGTTGGTTGGGGGTGGTGATTGGGGGCGGCGGGTTAAACGCACTTGCATGAGCAGAAATTTAGTGCGATTTTTTTTTGTGTGGGTGTGTGCGTGTGTGTGTGTGTGTGTGTGTGTGTGTGTGTGTGTGCGTTGCCTTTGAAGTGCCTGCATGTCTGTCACCTCAGGAAAGTGGTGGTTTATCACTCTGCGCTGTCAAGATCTACCTGGGGATCTAACGTTCTTGTTGAGGAGGCGTATACTGGATGTGATACTTTACTAAAAATACACAACCTGGCATCTTGTTTGTACTACACTTTCTGGTCCACTGAAATGAAAAATGCACTTGATACAATTTAGGAAGCTTTATGAATTGAACAGCTTTTCCTTGGCTTCGTTTTTCAAATCTACCAACAGTATGAATCAGTTTCTCATGTGCATGAAATAATATGATGATGCCATTATATAGCTACTGAATATTGTTTCGCAGCCAAAACGGCCCTCTGACGGAAACCCCCAACTACAAGGTGACCTGCGACAAAAATCTGTTTGACACCCGAGGACTCTGTTTCATTAAAGAGGGACATTCCAGAAAAGGGCAAACTGCAACAGCAATTGGAATAAGAGTACTGCTTTCTGATTTTAGTGGATCTTAAAAGACTTTTTGGGTTCATCCAACTAATTATAGACTTTGAAGTGCATATTAGTCGGAAATGATATCCAATTGGACTGTCTCATTATCCAGCCGTCAAACACTGCTTTATTGTGGTGGACGCTCAGCTCGCTGAAGGTAAGCAGGGGGGCAGAAAAACATATTTTTGAGACCACGAAGAAAACTCCAAATGTCGCATCTGGAAATTATGGAAACAGAAGTCATAAGTTAGAGAGTTCAAACGTCCCCATCATAAAATATTTCACTGTACAGGCAATGCTTTAAGTAAGTGTTTTAACATTCTGCCATACAAGTGTAGAAATCGAACGACCGTCAATATAAAAATGTAAATGTGTCTCGCATGTGTTAAAAGAAGCTAACCACTGTATTACCCCAACAAAAGACTGTATTACACTGACAAAACAGTTAATTATTCGATCAAAAAATGCCCTGTAGGGTGGCTCACTGCTTTGAAAGTGAACCCGCTCACTTCACTTCTGTATTATTTTCTTCCTCTCTTCACACTTTCTGTTGATTTTTTTGGAACAAGTGACACTAAAAACTAATACAAATTAAAAGTTTGGCACTCACCAAGTTTGAACTGAGCTCTTGTGAGTTTGCCAACAACATCTTGTCTGAGGTATTTAGTCAACTTACAAATTGTTGGAGAAAAAAAAAGATTTTTCTTTTTTTTTTGTTCATTCGCTTGAGTTGGTAAATTTGACCTGCAAGACACACATTGCGTCGCGACAGCCAATCGCAACTTGTTCACAGCTGTCGAACTGTGAACCAAGCTAGTAATAGCATTCAGAATTAGCCACAGTATTAGCATAACCACTAGCCACCTGACTGACTAGAGATTTTTATACTTTTTTTTTTTTTTTTTTCCGTCAGAGGAATTATGGCCAGATAAGGGCTACGCTTGACAGTTGGTTAACACAGTTACGTAGATACATTTTAGTTGCCGAACAGTTCTAATAATCATCATAGACACTGTCAGAGATGTTCGCTCGGACAGTTAAATAAGCAGACTCAGGAAGAGATTGTCTTTTCTGCCGGCAGGAGGCGCAGTTTTCTACGAAGCCACTCCGTGCGCGCTCCTTAACTGACACCTGACCTCTGCAGCCTCTGCTGGCTTTTTATTGATCGTGTATGTAAATTACAAGTGACGTATGAGGAAAAACACCCTTCCCTTCTTCATTTACATGTCACGCCTCTCAGCCTCGCCCACCGATACGCCCCTCAGAGGCCAAAACATTTCTCGTTACAAGCAATGGATACCTTGTTAATTCAATGGGTATATTTCGCATGAATTGAGACACTGCACAAACTGAAGGACATCTTATCGTTCTGCCCACCTGAAGTTGAACCTTCCTGTTTGTACTATCAGTTAACAAGGCCTCAGTTTCATTCAGCTCAAGTTGGCCCTTTTTCCTGTGTGCTCTAAACACACGCGTTTGAGGTCAATCAAGCATACAAATGAAACTTTTAAACATGATAACTTTGAGTTTGTCTATACTCTATCAGACACCAATCTAAATGATGCGTAGTGAACATGCTAATGGGCCGATGCAACCATAACATGGAAAAATTCCTGCTGTGGTATTACTGGTTGGCATTGGACATCTACCGTAGCATATGACGTGTGCAGACTGGGTGTGCCAGGTGGCTCCAGGTGAGTGATAGAGACAATGCAAAACTGCCCCCCCCCCCTTCTCTCTGTGTCCACTACCAATGAGCTGAATGCATGAGTGTGTTTTCATTTTTTGCAGAATTGGAGCAAGGGGAATAAAAGGCAAAGAAAAAAAATGATAAGGCGTTTTTTTTTTGTTTTTGTTTTTTTGGGAAGCTACGTTTGTGTGTACATGCCAGAGTGGGACAAATGTGCCAGTTGGCATGTGGAGAACACCTCAACGCAAGCCCTTGTTAGTGCGGCAGATGTGCTAAATGTGTTGCAAACCACAAGCCGCTCGAGAGGTGATAAATCTACCGAACGTGCTTCGGATAAAAGTATTGGGACACCTGCAGCGAGCGAACAACTACAACTCATTAGGAAGTCTCTTTCAGTGGGTGAATTTTTAGTCCATTTGTGAACCTAGCTCCGAATCTGTATCATCGTTTGTTCCCAAGAGAAGTTTGTCCACACCACGCTTATGCAAGCACAGTTTTTATGGACATTTTTTGCATTAGGGAGCAAAAAAAGGCAAGTTGAATGCATATAATTGCCCTAAATATGTATTTTTGAGAACCCCTGGCAACAGTTTTTTATTACTTTAGTAGTCTCTGGGCACACTTAACACCTCAAGTCTTGTTCACTGGGCTAATTTGATCCCTCCATGCCGCACTCCCAGCTTAGTTCACTTCCGAGCACAGTTGAAGAGGTGAGCCTGGGAATGGTTGCGCATATACAATAAGCAAATG